TGGTTAAACAGAGTCAACTGTAAATGAAAGTCAACATTTATTGTGTTACTTTAACAACTCGACGTCATCATCGTTTATTTCCACAGCTATAACGACTTCATTTGAACACATACGGAGAACTTAGTACTTCCTTAGATAGTCTGCTGTATTTTAAGGGTGTGAGACATTTGTGACTGAATAAATACGTTTGTAATTATTTTGTATGGCTTTATTAAATATGCTAAAAAGAATTTACAAAAACCTCCCGGCTGGTTCGGAGGGAGTCAGGAGGAAACTTTTTTCCTGTTCACTGCTTCACACCCTGACTTCTCCTGGGCTCCTCTTCCACTGCAGCCTCGGCTTCTTCCCCAGGGTGTGCTTCTTCTTTATGGACGTGTGAAGAAAACCAGCTTCCACTGGCCGAGTCGGTGTCGCCGACGCCTCGCAGCTCGCGGGGTCCAGCGCCCAGTCGGAACAGCGTGGGGATCTGACCTAGGATGGGGTTACTCTGTTGGAGGCCAGAGATCCACTGATTGAGGGTCGCCTGGTCCCCCTGACTGGTCATGCACATGGCAAAGACTGGACCTTCATCCACTGGATAGACACACAGACACACATCTATGTTACACCCTGGCAGTGAGGGGTTGGTCAACAGCAGCGATGTCATATCTTACAGTCTTCCACATCGAAGCTCTCATCGTCCCCCAGGTCGCGGTCCAAATCTAGGTCTAGCTGCAGAGGATACATGAAACACCTCTCTGGGTCATACGGCTCTTCTATCTGAGGGGAGGGAGGAGGATTTTTTTGTAATTTAATTCACAAAGTTTCACATATTATACATTCATTATACAGAGTCTACACACACAGACGGTCACTGCAGAAAATGCTGGCTGTTTGCAGATGACAGCCAGCTGAAGAAGCTGGGAGAGCTTCACAGGGAGTGGAGTGAGGGTGGTGTCAGTTCCCCCGACTCCAGCATGCACAGATGTCTACAGGATTAATGAACACACCAAGCTGGACATCTCTGTATTATAAATCCTGTTTTTAATTGATCTTAGGAAATATTCTTTAATCTGAGATTCTGGTTTTGTGACTTTCCTGAGCTGTAAGCCACAATCATTAGAATTCAAACACTGTTATATGATCCTCACACAGCACTTATTATTTGTAATGGATAACAGTAACGTTTGCCCACCTTCTCTTCAGGTGGGGCAGGGTCAGCTCTGAGGACGTAGTAGTAAACACACGTCTTCCTCATCCACAGAGGGAACGGGCCCTCCACAAACACTGGCCTGCACGGGTTGTGCTTAGCGAGCGCTTCCATCTGGCTGGGGCTCTGGATGCCTGGTGCAAACACAGGAAAGAAAACAAACAACAAATATGGAAATGATGCCATTATTAGTATTTTTAACAATATATTTCTGACTAAGACACAGAGTGTAGTTTCAGGTCATCCATACCTACTATATGTGGAAGTGTGACTTCAGCACCGCTCTCTGTGATGTCTGTGCAGGGCAGCTTGTGAGGAGAGCACACAGAGTTTGGTAAATACAAGATTTACATCTGATGACAAAGTCAATCAAACTTTGCGATTTTTACACACAAGTTTGTCTTAGTTAGACGTGAGAAACTGATCAGCTTATGTGGAGTTTTTTCTGAGAATTCACATCGCCTGCTTTCAAACTTTCACTTTTGTTATTCTTTTAAAGAACAAAGCCAGGCTAGCTGTTCCCCCTGTTTCCAGTCTTCATGCTAAGCTAGGCTAATCCATGCATATACCTGGTAGACGGTCACTTTTGCATCCCAGTCGTTTGCCATGCGTGTGAGGCTGAAGCGTGCCAGGTCTACTGGGTCTTCAGGGAGTTGCTCGGGAATAGGAAAGGGGTTTAGGTGCTTGAACTTGGGGAACCAGTACATGATACGCTGGTACTTTCTCATAGGGTGGGCCTTTTCTCCAAAGATCTGGACCAGCAGCACTTTGGTCTCAATGTTGGGCATGATACCTGAAGCACAGACACTGACACTTAGACACAAAAACAGTGTACAGAATACCTCAAGATTCTCAGCAACTACCACAGTACTATAGACACCCACCATAATTCTCCATCTGCTCCAGGAGCTGCACCCCACACTCCTGCTGACGGGGATAGTGGTTGAACATTGTCTGGATAAAGTTTTGCGGCACGAACACCTCTTTAGGAAAAACATCCAGCAGCTTGTTGTAGACAGTGAGGTCTTTCTCCACCCCGAACTCTGGCATCTTCTTCAGAGCAGCATAGATAAACTCCACATGACCTCGACGCCTTATGTCTCTCTTGGTGTAGACGTCTATCACTTTGTTAAACGTGGCCTTGGTTTTGGCTTCTTTGGCGACCTGCTCAAACAGATCATCGTGGGCGACCAGAGATTTGTCCCTGGTCTTGTCTTCTTCCTGAACGAACCGTGCAGGCTGACTCTTGGTGCACGCTGGGCTGCTGTGGAAATGCCTCAACACCTAAAAGCAACATGTTTTTGTTATGAACGCATATAAAAGATTCATTCATGTGATCTGATTAGATTATTTATTGATTAACAGCAAACAAAGAGGCGACTGCCAGCTGCCTTTCTCTGCGATTATATCAGTGCTGTATATGAGCTTAAGTCTGCTAAAGCTCACCTCGCGCTGTGGGCACTGCAAGCCGCCGGGCTGACTCGAGGAGTGTAACCGGAATAGAGCGCCGTTGTCTCCAGCAGCAGCAGCAGGCAGCGGCCTCCCTGCGTGGCTGAGCAGCCGCAGAGACGTGAGCTGATGCAGGCAGCGGCTGCCCTTCATAGTCGAGCCATCACAGCGAGTGTCAGAGAACAGAAATGCACACGGACGTGAAGCTCATTCAGCTGTAAATATTTGTACAGAACGATAAAACTTTACATTTCACATTTTTGTGAGGTTTAGTTCGTCAACTGCTCAAACGTTGTAGTAAAGATAGTTATTATTATTACCCAACATGTATAACCATGTTAATACTGACCATTAATGCCGACAATCGGACAAGAATGTAGTCTCCTTCAGAAGCCGCTGTCAATGGACGCTACCATGTTGAAAGGCCAGTACAGCATTCCGGTCCGACACGCGTTTTCTTCCCCCAAACAATAGAAACAGTGACAGAAATAATTGTTCCGTAAAACCGCAAATAAGCGCAGTAAATATTCTCCATTAAAATGCATGAAAATGATTTCTAAATCAACGCCATTCTTCGCGCTGTAGCTATAATTCTTCAAACTATTAAACAAAAGTTGAGAAAAGAGAAAGCTAACTATTTTTTATATCCTTTGTCGTGCAGTATAGTTTAGCGTGACCATATTTTGATTTCCAACAAAGAGGACACTTGTGCCAGTCATGAAGAACTTTAATAATACTGTTCACTTAACAGTAAACTTTAACATATTTAAACAATGCCGTCTCTGTGTAGTTAATGAATGGTGAAATAAAAAAAAAAAAAGTTGTATAGGATTTTACAAGTCAACAAAAAAAGAGGACGGTTGGTCACCCTAAGAGATACTTCTTAAGGCAA